ATCGCATCCATGGACACCTATCCACGTATGCAACCCCACTGGTAACCACTACTGCCGACAATCAACACGAACAATCCTGTGTGTCCACTCAGAAATACTTACTTGACATATGGCGGCTGCAATGATGAGCCGTTCGTGGGTGATCAGTAGCGGTTGCAGTTGTTTGGCACTTTTTTGTCCCAACAACGTAGCTTCCAGTGCATCATTGATACTGATAATTGCGTAGCGTGTATCCTTCGTCATGTTGTTGGTTTCTCCTATCTCGGAAGAAAGTCACCAAACTGGTTCGTTCTAATCGTACTAACCGTATTTATTGGCACGTTTAATACACTCGTACGAGTGTGTCTACTTTTGTGCGTATTTGTACATGACCTCTACGCATAAACCTGTAATACAAGCGTATGTAGTCACAGTCTCGTTGGTGTGATGTGTGTGTTCTATAGCTTCCCCAGTAGTCCAACTGGAGGAACCATATATTGAATATTGTGTAGAGCCACAAGTGATCGACTCTATTTAGTATTCAAATAGCTAGAAGAGTTGTGATTAGAAAAAGCCTGCTAATACGTGCGCGTGTATAGTCCTGCAAATTTGGCGGTTATTTACATCATCGGCTCATCCGCGCTCACATATAAATACCCTACATAATTCAAAACCTAACACTAGTTATTTCGTCACTAATGAGAAAATAGATTTCTTATTTTATCACCAATTCAGATTTGCCTGTGCGGCTGTGCGTCTCTACTCTGTAGTTTGCACTTTGCAGTCTGTATGCACTTGATCTGTCTCTTGTGATTGGAATCCCGAAAGTACATGAATATTTGTTACTATACAACATAAATATGGTAGCATAAACGTTCGTAACTTTATAAAAATCGGTATCAATAACGGTTTTTATCGGTTTATTAAAAAAAAAGGAGAAACAAACTGAGTTATTAGGCCCAGACAACATAAAATATTGGACAGAGAACTGGTTCAAACTAGCCACACGTATGCGTTATACAAGTCCATTCATACCAAACAGACCTTTCTGGCATTATAACGAAATACACGTGCAGACTCGCTATACGCGCACATATGGGCTCGCATAACCCAATAAAATAGTATGCTATAATGCCAGAAAGGTCTGTTTGGTATGAATGGACTTGTATAACGCATTAGTGTGGCTAGTTTGACCCAGTTCTGGTACAAACTAAAATCGTTCATAACTTTTGAACCAATAGTCCGATTAGGATGAGATTTAGCATACGTTTATTATTCGTTAAAATGAAGAAGTTGTGCTATCTGAGTGCCAATGAGATTAATTTTTCAAGGTACCTCTGGGCCAACCTCTATGGAAAAATCCCCCCCCCCCCACCTTCTCACTCTGTCCATTTTATGTTGTCTGCGCCGCCCATTCCCCAACAGAAGAGCCAAGGCCGGCTATTGGCTAATCGTAGATCTAAAAATAGAATTTTTAAACGCACCGAGAGTAAGATTCGCCGCCAAAAGTGGAGATTACCAAAAACTGATCTAAACCATATGACGTCATCTGAGCGGTACGAAATGAGTCATGCTTTGTTCTCTGATACCACTGTATAAATAAAACTAAAAGAGATCGCACAAACGATTAGACGCAGAATTACGTGTTCTACGCGTATGATACACGCATACAGTACACGCATAAAATAGATATATACGTAATCACACACAGTATCTCGTGTATAGTACACGCACAAATACATATATACGTATCACACCCAGTCTCTCGTGTGTAGCACAAGAATTGCTTCGACATCACTCTCTACACCGTTCTCTATCCTTAGCTTTGGCAGGGCACTCCTCAAGCTCATCACTTCAACACACCTCAATCAACAGACCCATCCATAGACCCAAAGGGCAATCACCACCACCGCCGCCATGTCGTCGGGATCTAAATCACACTACTTTTACAAGCGCATGCAGCAACTGAAACAGAAGAATGCCGAGACCAAAGGCGTGCGCACAGCCACCAGTTTCGACGAAGAGTTCAAGCGGATGGAAGACATGACACGACACATGGAGAAAGCCTATACACGGATACCTGATAAACTGGATCAGTATCTACAGCCAGACCCTACCAAGCGGATGAGTAAGATGGTGCTTAAGAACAAGGATACAGCGGTGACTGAGGATATGATTGCTAAGGAGAATCTGTGCAAGATGGGCCAGGCGATGATTGATGCCGGGTATGTATGTCTGGGTTTTATTTCAAGTGTAGACAATAAGGATATGTATGCTATATGATGCATTTGGTTAATGTATCCGAGGTATGTCTGAATTTAATTTAAGTGTAGACAATAAGAATATGTATGCTATAAGACGCACTTGGCTATTTATTTGAGGGCTTTATTTGAGATATATTGGAGTCGGGGGGCTTTTTATGTAGATACTGTATGGGATTTGATATCGGTTGTGTCTGTGATTGTACCTGTGTATGTCTTGGTTATGTCAAATAGTTGTACAGTTCATGGATTGGTAGTTGCTCACACATATGGATGTACAAATGGACTACATGACAACGGTTGCCATGATAGTACACAGGACTATACAAATGTGGAACAGAATACATTGACATATGATTATAGAAGTGTTTTATAAAACATAAATATATGGTTGTACTAGTGTACTATAGAATACAATGACGTATGACTATACAAATGTACTACAGAATACATTGGCATATGATTATAGAAGTGTACTACAGAATACATTGATATATAATTATACAAGTGTACTATAAAATACATTGATATATGATTATACAAGTGTACTATAAGCTACATTATCACATGATTATTCAAGTGTACTATTTAAACATTGATATATGATTATACAAGTGTACTATAAAATACATTATCACATGATTATACAAGTTTACTATAAAATACATTGATATATGATTAGACAAGTGTACTATAAAATACATTTTCATATGATTATACAAGTGTACTAGAAAATACATTGATATATGTGCGTATTATAGAGCGTATCTAGATATGATATAGGGCAGTCAGCGTACATAGATCAATCATACATTCAAAAAGACAGCAAATAAAAGGCCCTTATTTGTAAATAGTACTCTCAGGTGCCACATCCATATCCACCTTGATATATACATATACGTGTGTTATATCGTACGCAGTTGTGTTTCAGTCATTTCGGGGAGAGGTCCATTCTGCGCAGCTGATTGTCCAAAGCGTGTACTATTCAGTCAGAAAGACAGACGCGCTCTCAGTATATAGTACAGTATATAGTACCAAATGTAGTACTGCATATAGTACAAAATGTATTACAGTATATAGTACAGTATATTGTACAGTATATACTACAGTATATACTACAGTATATACTACAGTATATACTACAGTATATAGTACAGTATGTTGTACAGTATATAATACAATATATAGTACAAGGTGACGGATGGTCAAGTATTCTGATCAGGTATACTAATAGTTCTACATGTATATATACACGCATACAAAACCCACCCATCACGCACCCCACCCACGAATACAGGTACACATTCGGTGAGGAAACCACTCTGGGCTGCTACTATCTCAAAGCAGGCACCAGCCAGCAGGAGATCACCAAGAGCTGGTTGGCCTTTCAGTACGAAGCCAATCGCATGTATCTGAAGCCCATGGAACTACTGGTAGAAGACCTCAAACACATCAAGAAGAACCTCAACAAGATTCAACAGGACCGATTGTACCTGGACTCAACCAAGACGCGCAAGGAGAAATCGCGGCAGGACATTAAGAATTACGACCCCAGTGTGGTGCAGCATCTGCAGAAGAAGGCCGAGAGTTTGCAGGAGGTGAGACGGGGTGAATATGTTGTCAGCGAGGGTATAGGTGTGGGTATACTTGTATATACATAACACGCATGCAAGCGAGAGGGTATGGATTTTAATTGCAAGAGGTGAGGTGGGTTAATAGGTATCAGCAAGTGTATAAGTATCAGTATACTTGTAACCGGTGCGGTGTAGTATTATAAGTATCAGTATACTTGTAACTGGTACGGTGTAGTACAGAGTCCTCATGCTATCCGTTCGCTTTTACGTAGTGTATGAATACGTTTTTGAATTGTACCGATGCAGAATCTGGAGATCAAAGCCGGCAATGTGCAAAGTCAGATGGAGCAGTTCTTTTATGAACTGGAAGACGACCAGATCCTAATGCTTCAGAACTTCATCGCCACGGTATGCTAAGAGAACACATGCACGTATTTGTATCTAAACTATCCGTACATACACACACACACACTTTTACACGCACGCACACTTTTACACGCACGCACACACACACATCTATATATATATATATATATATAGATAACGCACCACCCACACACACA